GGGTAATTCTAATTACTTCCTATTATGTGATAGGTTAGTTATTACTCCTGGTATAGTTATACTGACTATATATACTCTATAATCATATTATCAGGTACGTATATTTGGTGATATTAATACAACACTAGGTCGAGAAATATACTTATACTATATCTAGTATTTATGTAGCTGGAGCTGCGGTAATATCTTCTCTAATGCGTACTGGCTGTTATGAGTAGTTATAGTAGTGTACTTATACGTACAGGTATAGTTAACGGTAGGCTAGTCGGGGTAGGCGAATAGTGTATACTACGTAGCTGTATACTTACAGGTAGTTATAATATATAGTACACTATATATTACTTATATATTGCTAGTATACTTACTAGGGAGTAGTATATAGACACGTAACGACTATAGTCCGGTATAGAGTATGGTGGTATATGGGTAGAGAGGGTATAGATAATATTATGGTATATAGATTAAGGTATTGTACCGGTCTAATATACTCGTAATTACAGATCATAGTGTTGTTAGCATACGTGATTAGGATCGGTAGTGTTTGATTATATCATACAGGTTACGGCCGGACTAGGAACGTGGATAATAGCGTAAGGTACGTAGTACGCGCAGTACGGTACTTATGTTTACTGATATGTAGCCTAGGATAGCAGTCAGTGATTGAATAGTTAGTTACTACCGGTGGTCAACATACAGAGGCATCCTCGTATACATAGTTACGTGGCTGGTATATAATGTCATAAATGATATATGCTTTCTCCTCGCTATAAGCATTGAGAGTCTATATAGCGCGGTACTAGGGTAGTAGCTTGACGGGTATAGCCGTACGTAACGTAATGTCATACCCTACAACTGTAATACTGTATTATGGTATACGCTATGTTATAGGTATACGCCGTAGATATAGATATAGTATATATATATACTGATAGGTAGGTATTGACTAGTATAGTGTACTATATCGTGTATATATGTATATTATGTGATACTATAACGTATCTGATAGTCGTTTAGCTGATTACCAGGTATATATATCAGTACGTAAAGTTATATGTTCGTTAAACGGCTACGGTAGTGGTTACAGTGAGGTATAGTATACACATATAGTACATCTAGCCTAGTGGCGTGTACTAGTAAATAGCTAGGTGAGATATACAATCAACATACTACGGTATATGGTATAATATATGCTATGACCTGCTGGACGGGCTAGTATAGTACTAAGTTATAATATTATACTAACCTACATAGGGTAGTGTATGTTCTATATAGACTGTCCGGCTGTAGTATTCAACTGAGAGTATAGCGGTCAGTATAGTATGTCAGTTATGATAGTACTGAGCTATATATATAAGTGGTATCATATCATATAATAGGTAGTTATAGGATAGGTATTATGACTTAACTGTATCTGTATATTGAAGTTCTAGTATCATAGTACTATAGTACGGTGCAGTTAATATACTGCTACACTGTACGGTGATACCCGTATATACGGGTAGGATTCTACAGGTACTGCTGATATAAGGTACTCATTACAACACGAGCCTATGAGTATTACCATTTCAAGTAGTATATTATTAGTACGAGCTATAGTGATACGTGGGTTGTTAGGATACTAGTAATAGACTAATGTATGTATATACGTGGGTTGATATGGGTTATATGCTACTAGCTGGATATATATACATTAGAGAAGATATCGCGTCACTACAACACATTATGATGTAGTATTGTAATACTACTAGTATCATAGTAACGGGTATTAGGTTTAGATAGTTCTAGTAGCTATAGTATCATAGTATATATATGGTATATGTAGTACGAGCCGTAATATATAATATAGTATTATATATATATATTAGTAATATATCTTATATAAGTGTGTACGGTATATGATGTTAGGTAGTATATATATGATAATACTATAGTAGTATATACAGTATAATATACATCTGGTAGTTAGTATATGTATATGATATGCTGAACATGTAGCTTATTATAGGTATAGTATAGTATATAGTACTAGGTGAACATATATATACTATGCGTGTACTATATCGTTATAGTATTATAGATACTTACTAGTATGTAATATAATAGGCTATAATTTATATTACTGATATATATATAGTGTATTTATAGTAATAGTATAATATATATGCGATTCAATATATATATTATATGTAGTAGTATATATATACATAATAATGTATAATACATTACTAACGTTATATATATATTATATACTATATACTATATATATATATATAAGATACTATAGTATACATATATATATTATATATATATATATATATATATATATATAGGGAGAGGTTCTAATAAAAACCTCCTTAGCCTAAAAACTAAAAACCATTGTGGGCCATTGGATTATTGAAGATCACATGGCTGAGATTAGAGATTAAAGTCAACTAGATAAGGTTATTTTTGTAATTTTGACAGCCACTAAAGAGTAAGAAATAAATGCATGTGCTGTAATTTTATTTCCAACAATTAAATAATTAAATAATAAATGCAAGTTTAGTTTTCCATTTCCCCATGTAATCTCACGGCTCAGGCAACCCAAAAAAAAACTGGAGTCACTGGAGTGAATTTGGATTCACTCCAGTGAATCTGGATTCACTCCAGTGAATTGAGAATCATTGTAATCGAGATTCACTCCAGTGAATCGAGAATCACTGCAGTGAATCGAGAATCACTGAAGTGAATCGAGATTCACTTCAGTTGTTTTTCTTCATCTCGAGCGTTATCGTTTTTGGGAATTATTGCTAATTAATTGCTAATTAATTACAGTGTGTTTCGTAAAAATGGAGTGTTTGACTGGATAATTAATTACAGTGTGTTTCCTTAGTGAATCTTTCTTAAATTACCCCTTTTACATTAATTTTGACAGGTGATGTGTATTTAATATGTATTTATTTTCAATTCTGCCATTTTTAATTCACTGCAGTGGATGAATCTCGATTCACTATAATGAATCGAGATTCACTGAAGTAGTGAATCGAGATTCATTGTAGTGAATCGAGATTCACTTCACTTAAAATAGTCACTGATGCGAAAGAAACTTCATCCCTTCGTATTCATTGTTTCACAAACATGTCTCTTCATAAAATAGGGGCAACAAACAACCAATGAATCCAGATTCGCTTGAGTGAATCCAGATTCACTCCAGCGAATCCAGTTTCACTTCAGTAGCAGCACAACAGCACAGCAACAGCAACACAG